TTCAGTCGCAGTTGAATACTAGTTACTTCAATTCTAGAACATGTATATCTGCGCGGACATTAGAAAGGGTGGGGCAATCGATTTATTCAAGACTTCATCAACGGCTTTTAGCAAAAAACTAACAAAACTTTTTGCCCACGCCCATCCTCGGAATCCACATGACAGTTCTAGATCCCCGTCAAGGTTACGCCTCAAAGACAAATCTTTTTAACTTAATTTTAACTAATTTAACTGCTTGCATTATTTCAAATTAGGTGTTAACTCTTTTTACCGTAAACTCATTGGTCAAACTGCAAGGGGTGATTGGATTGCAGTTTCGATTCCCGAGTCACACAAAGGTTATTGGATTTTCGGTGTTTCAAATCTTCCAAGTTATATCACCCAGTAACCGTTGTACCCGATGTGTTATTATGTAATGTCATATATATGTATGTTGTATACATTCAGAATATGTATCTGGAAAAAAATCGGTTTCATAAAAATTCTTTCAATAGGTAATACTTCAAAGGGACTCATTAATGCCATTTTATCAAACATGGCATTGTAACTATCTAGTACTTTGTATATTTTCTATCGATCAATTGTATTTTTAATGGTCCTTATTACCTAAGGCTTACCTACTTGAAAGGGAAAAAGGGAAAATTGTCTATAATTTGCAAACTACGTTTCATACTTAATTCAAGACCTTTACTATTTGTTGCTGTAATTTTCTACTATTAGTAGTTAGTCGTTTTTTCCATTTGTTTAATGTTTAGTAAGAACATTGACCACGTAAGGAAAAGTTTTTAGTGCCTTAGCCATCGGACCTGCTGATGGTAAGCAATTACTGTCAAGAAACATACAACAGCAGATGTGTAAGGAGTCAGAGGATCTGGTATGTACTGGGTTAACTTCAATTATCTTTAATGGATTTAGGGGGATATTTTGACGAGTGTACTAAGCTAAATGCATTGTAATAATGATATTACTGTCTGCTAATTATCTAAAAGCATCACGTTATCCCTTTAATCCCAACGCAATAAACAGGGATTACATAGGTACCTAGATATTAAATTTTGACATTACTTGGAAATTATCGAATGACCAAACATCCTAATGATTCTTTAGCCGACCGGGTAATCTTGTTTGGCGACCGTTTGGCTACATCTTAAAAAAAAACTATGCTTGTTAAATGAACGGGCCCGGGTTCCTTGTTTTCTAAAGAAAAAAAAATTTCATCGGGATCTGGTTCCAAACCATTGTGTCAAAGAGTATGTAGAGACAACTGATTGGATATCATAATGGTGTGAGGTATTAAAAAGTTAATAATGTTCATCATCATTAATGATATCCATGTTCTTAACTCAAGTTACTAAGGTTCAGTGTTAGGTCTCCTTTTTATTGGCTGGCTTGACGACTTGCCAAGGATGGGCGTGAATTATCACTTACGTGCTTCGCTGTGTGAGTGAGTTTACCGGAGGTCGAATTCTTAACCCCCTCACCCCCCCACAATACGCAATCCTTAAATCCGCTATCCTTAAATCCCTTATAGCCAAAAAGAGGACAACAACGCATTTGTAACTCCTTTAGTCTTAGGTGCGAGCGTCCATGGGCAGCATTGTGGCACCAGGCTATCCGTCTGCTCCTTTGCCGACTAACGCCAGCGTCGTATTTCTCTGTGGGAGTACAAATTAAATTACAAAAGGCTCAATCCTCACGAATTGCCCCCTCCTGTGAAATCTGCATGGACCGGCTTCGCACTTGGAGATCTCTTTGATCGTGTACCCCCATATCAGGGGAAAGACTAAAGACGGAGGAGAAGGTCTTCTTTTCTTGGTATTCAGATATATTTCTACCTCACTTTCTATCTTGGTTTTGTTTGTTTCTGTGAAGAGTGTGTGTGTTTATTTCTAATGAAGAGGGGGCTTAGACCGCAGACAAGCTGCCCAAAGGTCTGGTGACAATTGCGAAAATGTTAACCTTATTGGATAATGGCAATACCACCGACACAACATAAAACTAAAAGTTTTACCTAAAACACGAAAAGCCGGAAAGAACATTCGAACATGAACTTATATTATCATCAAAGTGCATATGCAAAATAACTTCAAACCGTATCACACCCGAAAACCAAAAAGACTTTGATGTATCAAAGTCTTTAACCTATGTTTACCTACGACAAAACAAAAGAATCATAATACGTTATATATCTTGAACTTTAACAACTTCAAACTTACTTATTTGTGCACAAAACTAAACTTACGAATTTTGTAACACTATTACATAGTATTTCACGAAAATACCGATGGTATTTAAGGCTTAAACGAAGTGGTTTATATGTTTTAAGCAAATGTAAACAAATAAGTGTCAAAGTGAAGCCTTATTTTGCCAGATTTTCAGTAAACCTAGATTGTACTAACTTCGCGTCGTGGCGCACCCTAGTCTGCGCAGACTCAAAATAGGGAAGACCTAACAATATCGATATTTTTCACTCGATTTTCTCATATCTAATCAACTTGATTGTTTGATTCACAATATGGATTAGGCACCTTAGAAAAAAGTGTGAGACATGTTATGATATTAGATAATAAATGTTTTATAGCACAAAGGGTTCGCAGAGGTGCCCAGGGTGCAGAGGTTTAATTTTGAGTGAGTGTGGGAGAGCCATGCTACGGCACGAATGGGTCGGCTCGACCGGATTGATACCACGGCCTCACAGAAAAATGGCGTGAGCAGAAACAACGTCGTTGTGTTTTGCCGTGTGAGTGAGGTTAACGGAGTTCCAATACCTCCCTCTCTCCCTTCCCAATCCTTCAATATCCGAAGCCCTTATCCCCTAAAAGACCGACAACGCGCTCGTAACTCCTTTGGCGTTGTGGGTGTCCATGGGTGGCGCTGATTGCTTACCATCATGTAATCCGTCTGCTCTTTTGCCGAACTATTCCATAAAAATATATATCGGCTGTTCAATTAAATTTTCGACTATTAGTAGCGGTAAGACCCCTCTTTGAGGAGTGGCTGCACCTGACGCAGATGCGTACCGGACGCCAGTTTCAGGTACCTGTTTCGCCCTTGGGTCCTCGCTATCAGGATCACTGTGAGGACTCGGTGGAGCATAGCGGCTAGCATGCGGTCGCGTCCGGCGTCAGTCAAAGCCATGGTGCAGATGGAGCGCCGAGAAGAACTGGGAATCCGTCTCCTTGCAGTGATGCTCAGACGCGAACGTACGTTAGCGTTCTATGCCCGCCTCGATGAGCCAATAGATCACCACAGATGGAACCCAATAGAGCGGTTTCTCTAACATTTTTATATAGCAAATCAGTTTTCTCAGTATTACACAATTAAAATAAAAAAAGCAGTTTCGCGAGTATAAATTTAAATTGGCTCCAACACACAAACTGTGTAAAAACAAGATTCTGTCACGTCTGCACATCATCAGGCAAATTTTTATAAACTCTAGAACTATACTATAATTGATATATTAACGCCGATTTTGGATTTCAGTTTCTAAAATAACAATTAATATTAAGAACAAAATAATCTTAAACAGAAAAGGAATTTATATTGTTTTTTTTTCTTTCTCCCGTATGTATTGTGCACTAGACTGCCCATTTCCAGTTCACTTTTTAATTTCCATCCAAAGGTTGTCTGGAAGAAATCACCGTGAGTGATAAGACCGCCCATTGTACACTCTATGGTTGTAAGCCTGCTCTTTGTGTTAAATTTTAATGTTGTGTACAATAAAGAATATATAAATAAATAAATAATAAATAAAGGAAATACCAGTTCATCACCTTCCTGGTTGATAAGCCCTTTCTGTAGACGTAAGAAGAAGTATAGGTTAAGCTTCAGCGGGAAATTAGTTAATAATCTAAATATATATAAGGAGAAAGTGACTGACTGACTGACTGACGTATCAACAAACAGCCTAAACGGCTAAACATAGACACTTGAAATTTGGAAGGGACGTAGCTAATGTAATGTAGAGGTGCTCTAAGAAAGGAAATCCCGAAATTCGAAAGAAACGGGAATTAGCGGGAAAATTCTTTTGTATGAAAAACCTAAACCACTTTAGTTACACGCTTGAAATTTGGCGTTATGACCTTAGCTTAAATCTTGGTGGCATCAGGATATTGCAAAATTCCTACGGGAACGGGAGTAAGAGGGAAAAGAGTTAGAGTTTAAGTGTGGGAGAGCCATGCATCGGCAAGAATGGGTGCGCTCGACCGGAGTTATACTACGGATACGGATACACACAGAAAACCGGCGTGAAACACAGCGTTGTGTTTCGCCGTGTAAATGAGTTGACCGGAGGCCTAATACTTCCCCTCCCCCAACCCCTAAATCTCCAAATCCCTAATCCCCAAAAGGTTGACAACGCACTCGTTACTCCTCTATTGTTACAGGTGTCCATGAGCGGCTCTGATTGCTTACCATCAGGTAATCGGTCTCGGTTCGTTTGTGGACCGGACCTATCACATAAAAAAGATTTGTATGAAAAAATCTTAACCGTGTAAGAAGGAAGGTGAAATGTCCACCCGCAAAATTATACGTAGTTTAGTCGAGCTTTCGCTTTTAACGGGGTTTAAACAACTGTGTACATTACTTTTAAACGCGTACGAAGCCGCGGGCGGAAGCTAGTAAGTAGCTTATATGTATTGTATGTCTTATTACAAGGCAGGTACAAATGAAATTCAATCAAAACATAACTTAAACACCTGAAACATACATCAAGTAGTTTCAGCTACAAATGTGTATTTAATTTTCTCAATGATTAACCATAACGAATCCTAAGCAATTCGTATGTAATTTATCGATACCTAGATTCATAAAAACAACAGATTTATATCGATATTCGATATCGACTGACACATTGGACGTACCTAGACAAACGGCAGACGCAAGTAAGTTAGCAGCGGTAGCGCCGGTAGTTGAGGCCTGCAATTAGTATCGCCTGGTCATCTCAACCGTGCACATCGTTTGCAAATTTAATAACAACAAGTCCTTTTATCAATTACACCATGAATAGGGGAGGAGGAAGGAGATTCCCAGTATGGCGTTTCCAGCCTGATGAGCGTCTTCGTCGAGCATATCTCGACGACACAGATTTGTTCGAGCTAGTCACCGATCCCAATGAGAAGTACGCGCGATATATGGAGGAGTACCGCCCCTTCATGGCAGAGGGCTTTGCTCGAGCCCAGACCGAGCAGGAACGGCGATTAATTCGCATTGAAATCTGTCGACGTGTGTTCGCCAAAATTATTATGGAAGTGCTGGCGAGTCGCCAGATCCCAATCCCACCGACTCCGGAAAATCAACGTGGCCCAGGTTAATGGAAACGAAGAAGGCGCGTTTCGTTCTATTTGTCAGTATGACGATTTTATTTCAAGTCAAGTGAATTTTCATTTGTGGTTCACATGTGGTGGCTATGCAACGTTTTTGTATAATAATGGAATTTACCAACTTGCTCTCCATCTAGTTACTGCGTACTTACAACACCTGTTACTGAGCCAGTATGTATCAAGACAAGATTAAACCCCAAAGAAGAAGATAACATCAGTGACTACTCCTAAAACTACGCCTAGTGATGAACGAGTTTATTATGAGCTGGAGACTTAAGTAGAGGGGATGTTTTCGTATCCCAATAACGTTTTGAACACTTTAACTAACTGTCAATTGGAAGCTCAGCTGATGTTTATAAGGAGTTGCCAACACATCTGGAGAAGGCCTTGGAGACTAAACCCCTACAACCATTATGTGAATCCACTGGTGTGCTTTATGTTATATCGTCCTTACTCGTAATGTAATATTAAAGTAACCCCGTAGTTTAGAAAACAATTTTCGACTTCTAAAAATATAATGTGTACTTTTGGAGTGTGTAATCCTTTAATAAACCCTTTACAACCTTAAAAGTTGTTTATTTACCCTGTCCATTGCGTATGTCCCTTAAACACACCCACCACTATGAGTTTTATTGTATTAAATTCATTGTTTTCTTTTCAAAGGTTCGTCCTGTGTCGTGGGTGCATTTATTTAAGTATCACAAATATTGTTAACATGCTTTTATCCGATTCAGTAACACTAAAACCTCTCAGGTTTGTGTGTCTTCACAATTCTATTTGTTACTTACATACAAAAAGTTATAGTTACGTAGCTAAACGTAACGATAAATATTTTATAAAATGGCAATCAATCATGGCAAATAACAAATTTATTTATAAACCTACATTTTTTTATACACAAGCCACAGTTCCGGGCCTGAATCGAACCCGCGCCCGAACGATGCACAAACAGCAAGTCACGAAATTTTACAAGAGTCAAGCAAATATGTGGGGTACTAAAATGTAAATGTGGGAGAGCTATACATCGGCACGAATGGGCAGGCTCGACTGGAGTGATACCACGGCCTCACACAAAACTGGCGTGAAACAACTTCAGCCTGTATACAGTAGCCTTCCAGACACGAAGTTACAATTTTTGGAACACACAAAATGCTGTTCCTCGTGGGAATCGAATTCGTAACTAATTTCAAATGGATAAGAAATCTTTTTTTCACTTAAAATAACTCAGCTTAATTCGTGAAAAAGACTCTAAATAAAATTAGTATGTATGTAATAAAGTATAGAGAAGTTCTTTCTTCAAACTTCTTGATCTGTGGGTAGGTTTATTTATGGTGTAGGAAGCTAACGAGCAGACGGATCACCCACGGAGGGATCACCTGATGTTAAGTGATCTGAGCCACCAATGGACACATGCAACACCAGAGGAGTCACGCACATTGCCGCCATTTTAAAAAGGAGAACGCTCGTTTTTTTAAGGTTTGTAGGTCGTATCGGTTCGGAACTACCGCTGCCATAAGATTATTCCAAAGTTTTGCTGTGCAAGGCAGAATTTTTTTCGATAGTAACCCAGAATCTAAAGGAGAGTCAGCCTCCTATTGACTTAAAACCATTTCTTCTCCTGTTACAAGCTCGGCCGCAGTATATCTATGCTTTTTTTACCAGGGGAAAATCACCAAAGGGCTTCTCCCGCCCAGGGAGGTGCGCAGACCCTTAATGACTAAAAACTCCCCGTTTCTTCTTCTACTCTAGGCCGGGGCCGCGGTGCCTCATTGCGGTTAACCCTCAACCTCGGCAGACCTATGCTTAGCTCTGCGTTAAGTATAACTTGACGCTGCTCTTTTAGAATTCTTTTCGTTAATATCTTACAAAATAAACCTCTCCTTCTACCAAGGTTTTCATTTAAGAAGGCACTGCTGTTGGTATGAATCTTTATTTTCTGAATGTAGAAATTATTTTATCTTTGTGCGCTCTTAAAATGGAAAACTCGCCGGCTACCTTTATGCACATTGCACGGTTGGAGCACTAGCTTCGCAAGTGGTGATGCCACGCGTCGCGGGTTAGTTTCGGGCACGAAACAAAACTTTGTGTGATTTACAAATTGTTGTTTCGGGTCTCAGTGGTGTATGAGAATTCGTACGTTTCTCAACACAACACACTCGCGACTATGCAGAAAATTCTATTACAGGGCAATGTTTAAAAATTTGTAAAAAAGTGAAACTGCACCCAAGGACTTTCCTCAGTACGATAAGCAAACTATTACCATCACTACAGCGATTAAAAGTATTACTTTTAAATCAGGCATATTTAAGTCACCGTGTTATTTACCTAGATAGCAATTTTAAACACCGAGAATGAGAGAGGATGAAAATGAAACTTCTTGTATGATAAGTACTTTATTTTGAAGTAGAAGCACTTTTATAACAAGTGGTACTTCAATCATAAAATAATATTTTTTACTATAAATTTTATACGTGCGGGGGCTGCAAATGTGTGTAATATACCAGGGGAATATGAAATATGAGAAGGTATCCTTTGATATTCTATCTACAAATAATATCGAAGAATGAAAGATTAATTTCATTCAGCTTTGTTCGTTGTGTGAGTTGTAATAAATGATAATGAACTATTCAGGTCTCTCTCTGGTTCCATAATAGTAATTTATTTAGGTAACAATATCTCATTGCGAACTGCCAGAAATTTCTTAACGTGTCGCGGGTTCGATTCTCGCACGGAACAACTCTTTGTGTAATTCAGAAATTGTTGTTCGGAGTCTTGGTGTATTAATTTTATTCCGGTATTAATTTCATCTGAAAATACAAACCAATACATTTCTTATTTCGGAATGAAGAATGTAATTTATTTTTAAGCCAATATAACGATTCGGGGCTGAATTCAATTTAAATATACTAGGGGAATATGAGAGCTAGGTGATGTTTTATAAGATAGGATTTATTTTGGCTTATTGAATATTGTGATTACGTATCAATCAGTTACACTCGCTCGTTTTCTTCCTGCCATTATATCATTCAGTCTTTCGAATCAATTTTCGGAGAAAACAACACATTACCTAAAATAAGTAACAGTTTTACATTTTGTTGTTACTGACCAACAAACCCACAAACCTACAAACCCTAAGTACCCTAGAAAATCCGTTGGTATTTAAAAGGAAACGCCCAAACCTGGCCTTTAGTTCTCTATGTTATTGTTGCCTTGGATTCATTCAGTCAGGATACGAATTCTTTGACTTTGTAGACATCGATCCTATCTTTGCTTTTGATGGTGGTGACTAATCTCAACTGCTAATATGATGTATAGTACAAATTATGGAGAATAAGTGTATGAACACTTCGAAATGCATCTTCTGTTCTCTATTTCTATCTTACTCTCTCTCTCTCTCTCTCTCTCTCTCTCTCTCTCTCTCTCTCTCTCTCTCTCTCTCTCTCTCTCTCTCTCTCTCTCTCTCTCTCTATCTCTCTCTATCTCTCTCTCTCTCTAAATTTGCTATAGGCACAGCAAAAGTGATACGTAGATAATTCGAAGTTATGGAAGTTGCGGAAAAAACCTGCTTTTGGATTCTTGTATGTATACAAGAATCCAACTGCACTCTTGTTTAAGAATCCTTGTCACTTTAAACTTATTTACCATAAATTAAAACGTTATCAGAAAGAAAAATATTGTTTATGCATTACATTATTTTTGCGGGGGCGTCCAACTTATAGGAGGTACTAGGAGAACATAGATCATAAGGCGGTTATATAGTATTTTTCTACAAAAGAGAAACGCCGAAGGACTAATACTAATACATGCATGATACACAACAATACGTGACATGGTAACAGACAAGTACCTGCCATGGCCACCCTCCAACACCAGAGGAGTGATAAGTGTATTGCCAGGCTTTTAAAAGCAGTAGTACTACTTAACGCTATTTTCTTCAAGAGTTCTACATGTCATGTTGGTTGGAAAATACTGCAGATGACAGACCATTGTACAGTTTCGCTCGTCGAAGTAGAATGTTGGGTGAAAACGAGGCCAAGCGCCATTTTAGGAATGATGGACTAAGAATAATGTCAGCTTCTTTTAGCATTTTTTTTCGTCAGGCGAAAATCCACACACCCCGAACTGCACGCGATCTTATTAAAAGGATGCTTGAAACGCACTGGGACGAGCAACTTCTTTGAGTTTGAAGGTAAAATGACATATGCTCATTTGAGAAGTTAGGTTACTCTCCTATAAATCTGATTCTTATAAATGTGAATATCCATATCAGTCGTTGTCAAATTCTACATTCGGGTAAAGAAGAGGTCTTTAGAGATACGTTGGCAAACGATGTGACGAAACGCCAGATGGTAAGCAATCAGTGCCGTCTATGGACATCCACAACACAGGCAGTCAAGAGCATTTTCAGCCTTCTGTAATTGTTAAGAACTGGGGATTTGGGGTTTGGGGATTTGGAGATGGGGTAGGAGGATATGAAATGGGCTTCCAGTAAGCTAATTCAAACGGTGAAAAACAACGCAAATGTGGTTTTACGGCGACATTCTGTGCGGCCATGGCTCTCCCACACTTATTGAAACATAGGTAGTATGTTATGTTGTTTTTTATGTAATAGATTGGCAAATGAGCAGACGGATTACCTGATGGTAAGCAATCAGCGCACCGCATGGACACCTGCAACAGAGGAGTTACGAGTGCGTTGTCGACCTTTTGGGGATTAGGGATTTGGAGAGTTAGGGGTTGGGGAGGGATTGGGGGAGCTGAAGGATTGGGTCTCCGGTAACCTTACTCACACGGCAAAACACCACTCTGTAGTTTCACGCCGGTTTTCTGTGAGGCCGTAGTATCACTGCAGGTTGACACTTTTGGTTGATTGTTGTGCGATGTAAAATAAGGATATTGTCAACTGCCCATACTATTTTTAATTAAGCTGCACTAAAGAATATTAATCGATGCAAGTTAAAAGCGTTTGTCTGGCATATAGGTGTCGTAGA